AAAGCAAATCCTAAAGGGATACAACTGTTTACAAGTAACTTAACTGTGTACCAGAACAAAATTCAAGAACATTTATAGAAATACAAAAGGATTAATACCCAATAACGTAAAATCACAATGATAAGCACACAATCAAAATTACAAGGTACACAAAGAAGCAGAAAAATAAACTGAATAATAAAGAGACTAGGAGCCAATAAAAACCAACCCCAAACTGAGTAAACACATTAGAATTAGCAGATAAGGACAATAAAGATTACTATAAACTTTATTGCATATGTTCAAAAACTTAAGCAGTGACAATACTGACAATAATTAATTGCTAATTGAATATTGCAAAAAAATAGATTAGTAAAGTTAAAGACACAGCAAACGAAACTATTCAAAACAAAACATACACAGAAAAAATTAAAGAGTAACACAATGAAGAACTACAGAACATGAAGCAGTCTTAGATAAGTGCAAATGGAGTTCCCAAAAGGAAAGCAGATGTGAAATAACTTCCAATGTCCAAAATTTTTTTGATGACAATTATAAACTCACAATGGATCAATGTAGCTCAATGAACCCAAAACACAGGAAACATGAACCAAACTATATCAATTCACATTACAATCAAATGCTCAAAACCAGCCAGAGAAAAATGACACATGTACACAACAGATTTCTTACATGAAACAATAACATAATGGAGTAACTTTTTAAGTGATGAAAGAAAAAATTTAAAACTCATAAAATTAGAATTCAATACCCAGAAAAAATTCACTTCAAAAACAAGGATGAAAGAGACCTTTTCAGACACAGAAAAGCTACAAGATTTCCAGCACCAGCAAATCTCCCCTTCAGAAAGATCAACAGAAGTCCTTCAGGCAGGAGAATAAATACCAGAGAAATATACGGATCAAGACAGAAGAATGAAGAGCTCCAGAAATGACCATTTTGGTAGCAAATGCTAAGTTTTAATATAGTTATTATATACATTTTTGGACTCTTTTAAAAAGAAAATCTGTTTTAATAAAAGTAACAATATAGTATGGGGTATATAAAGTACATAATGTAAAAGTATGGCATCAATAGCACAATTTTTAGCAAATCTAAACAAAGGGTAGGAGGGAAGGTAAAAGATTAGGAACTAAAATTGAATTATAACTATAGATATGATGAATTTTATAAAAATGATAAGAAGCTCTACATACAACTCTATAGAGTTGTATAGAAGGAATCGTTGATTTTCTAGAAAAGTATGTTACCCAAATTGACTCCTCAGAAAGAAAACATGAATACAGTAAGTCCCAGACTTATGAACACTGAATTGCAAACTTTTCACAAACAGACCTCACATTGTAAACATTCACAGATGCAAACAAATAGCAGAAGTAGTTCACATGTCTGTTAGACATTGTCACAGCTGTGCTTCTGTGTGTACAGTAGTATAGTGCTCAATCAGTGCCCAGGATGTCTGGAAGAGAAAAAGCTTTACATTGTGTTTTTGTGTCAAAGGTGTGTAAGACTCACTTTGTCAGACTTACAAACGAATCTGACATATGAAAGTTCTCCCGGAATAAAACTGGTTTGTCAGGTGGGGACTTACTGTAGAAGAATTGCAGAAAACTCAGAAAGGAATAAAAAACCTACATCTGAGGTAGCCCCAGATAGTTGAATAAATTGAGTTCAATATATCCTGATGAAACAGATAATTCTTATGTCAATTTTTTCCTAGAGTAGAAAAAAATAAGCTTACCAACTGATTTTACAAGGCTAGCAGAACCTTAATTCCAAAACCAAATTAAGATAAATGCATTTTGGGGCCGGGGATTTGGCTCAGTGGTTTCGCCGCCTGCTGCACAAGCACAAGGACCCGAGTTAGATCCCCAGTACCAAAAAAAAAAAAAAAAAGATAAATGCATTTTAAAAAATCTGTGTCAGTCATGAACACAGATCCAAAACTTACTGAAATTTGAGAAAAATAATAGATGTAGAGCACATAATGGCTCTTTTAATATATCGTGAAACATAGTTTTTATGACAGGATGCAAATCGTTCAGTCTTAAGTATTATATTCTACAGTTTGTTGCATTCGCCTTTCTCTTATTCAACTGACAAAAGTTCTTTCTTCCATGCATCAAAACTTTACATGTACACCTAGCATTAAGTACTGGGAATTCAGTGATGAGTAATTTATGGTTACTGCCTTTATGGAGCTGTCCAAACTAAGATACACAGAGTAAAAAGAAAATTATAATACAGTAAAAAGTTTGTAAGAGAAATACAGGGTATTATGGGACAACTTAAAAGGAAGTAATACTTAAGCTGAGCAGTTGAACAGTTCCTCTGAGAGCTACAGTAGGATGAAGCAAGCACCCAGTTATCACATAGTCAGAGATCCTATTAAGAATTTTGTGCTCCTGCCACCTGCCTCCCAAGTGCAAGGACCCCGAGTTTGTTCCCCAGTACCAAAAAAAAAAAAAAAAAGACTTTTGTGCTTAAGTTGGAGGCCATAGAAGATTTATTTCAGGTGAGTGGTGTCAGAGTCAGATTTACATTTCCAACCAGGCGGTGTGTGGATTGAATCTGAAGAAAACAGCAGAAAAACACTGGGTGCTTTTGGAACAATCCTGTTGAGGTGATTGCCCATTCAACAACAGCAGCAATGAATGACCAAAGCAGACAAACACAAAGTAAACTGAAAGTAGTATACAATTTGACTGGATGAGGAAGGAAGTCAAGGATGTGGGGGAGGCTATTAATAGGCATGATGTTTAACAGGGTAGCATGGTCAAGTATGTTTCAAAAACACTAAGTTGAGCATAAAAACAGTTACAACTATTTGTCAGAAATTCTACGTTGCTGTTCCTTGAATAAGATAAAGTCAAACAATATAACATGTTTTTCAAACATATCATTACAAAATCTTTATTTTCCAGAACACCTTATAAGATTGCCATGGAGCACTCTGGTGGAAACTGTTTCTTTTACAGCTCTGTATTTAATACTTTGAGGATGTCTTGTTTTATCCCTTTACACAGCACAGGTATTTGGTTTGGTTGCTTCAATCGGGTAAAATTGAAGAGAAAAAGATCAACTGGAACTTTGTAAGGATTCCCCCATAAAGCCATTTAAGGGTGCTGGGAAAACTGGCTTTCCACCAGCTGAAGACTGAATCTAAACCTGTACCTCTCACCATTCAATAAACTAAAATTAAAATGGGTCAAAAATCTAAATATTAAAACAGAACACTTAATTTGCTGGAAGACAGAATTGAAGACATAGGTATAGGCAAAGACTTTATAAACAAAACACAAATTGCAAAAAGAAATATTACAAAGAATTAAAAAAATGGAATCAAGTCAAATTAAAAAGCTCCTCAACAGAAAAGGAAATCTTGAGTGAAGAGACAACCTGCAGAATGGGGAAACATTTTTGCCAGCTACTCCTCTGACAGAAGACTAGTATCTAGAATATGTAAAGAACTCAAAAAAATTAGACCACCCCAATTTAAAGATCCAATACAAAAATAGGCATGTGAAATGAACAGACACTTCTCAGATGAAAAAGCACAGCCTATAAATGCATGAAAAAATGCTCAACATTGCTGCTCATTCAAGAAATGCAAATTAAAACAATATACAGTTTCATTTCACACCAGAGTGGCTATCAGCAGGAAATCAACCAATAACAAATGTTGGCGAGGTTGTGGGAAAAAAGAACTCTTCTGTATTGTTGGTGGGTGTGTAAATTGGTACTACTACTATGAAAAGCAGTATGGAGATTCCTCAAAAATCTACAAGTAGAGGCTCCATTTGACCCAGCTATTCCTCTTCTCGATATTGTCCAAGAGTTAAAGTCATCATGCCATATGTCCATCAACAGATGAATGGATAAGGCAGTATTTTTAATACAATGGAGTACTACTCTGTCATAAACTTGAGACATTTTTAGGTAAATGGATGTACCTCAAAACCATGTGAAATAAATCAGACACACGTTTAAATATCATTGTTTCTCTTGTGAGAGAAACCCAAAGTATAAATAAAGGATAGTGAAATTTAGGATAGATATTAAGAAGCAGAAAGAAGTTTTAGCAATGGGAAGGGGAACAAGAAATGGGGGAGGGAGAGTGAAGGGAAAAAAAATTTACAATTGATCTTAGCCAAAGGCTGAGAAGTGATAGGAAAACAAATTTAAAGAAAAAAAAAAAACAGAAATAAAGTTTTTGTAAATTGGGATGGGAAGCAGGGTTTAAGGGAGCAGGAGACAAAAAATAGATGTGTTATGTACATGTACAAATCTCCCATGATGAATGTGATCACTATGTACTGCAAACGTGTGCTAAATTTTAAAAGCCATTTTAAAAAGATTAAGATCACCTGTGAACCAATATGAAAGAATCTAAACCACAGATAAATCACAATAAAGTAGAATTAATCTTTGTTAGTATCTATACATATATTGAGCTAATACAGACGTACCTGCAAGTAGCAGGCTCACAGGAAACAAATCCTATTAAACTGTACATTTTTTTACCTTAATTCAATTGAGTAGTTACAGGGCTGTATTTATCTAGACACAAAACTGAATACATTTAGAAATAGAAAATGTAACTATATAAAACTTCTAGAGAATAAGGATTTTAATTTGGCTTACAATGCTCCACACTATACTCCAGAGGTCAACGAACATCTAATTCTAAAACCATCAAATTCAGTATCCACAAAAGATATACAGTATTTCAGGATGCTTAAGGTTAAAGAACTGACAATTTGGTTTTTTCTTTCTCTGGATTGACACAGGGTCTTGCTATGTAGTTCAAGCTGGGCTATGTAGCCTAGGCTGGCCTCAAACTCATGGTGCTCTTCCTGCTTCAGCCTCCCAAGTGCTGGGATTACAGGCATGTGCCATCATATCCAGCCCAGAACTGGCAATTTAAACACCAAGAATCACTGAATAAAAACATGTTTCTAACTTAATACAATATAGTGATGCAAAAGAAAGACACATCCTTCCTTTTTATGTTTTTAATATATTAAAAAGTAACAGTACAAATGCTGAGATTAGTATTTAAAAAGGATCCAAATTTTTCAAGGAATGAATTTTATAAACAATTTTGTAGTGAAAGGGAAATAGCATATTGATACATAAAAAGTTTTAAGGTTTTAAAATTTTAAAAGCAGTAAAATGTTACATTAAATTCTTTCCAATGTTGAAACAAAAATCAACTTGTATAATCTCTAATAAAATGTGTCCTTGGTATAGGTTTTGGCCACTTGGAAAATGTTAAAATTTCTGAAATTTGAGTGACAGAGGCAGCACATAAAAACTTTATGAATCTTTTTTCCCAAAAAGAATACTTTCAGTAAAACATTTTACTATTTTATGAGTATGCATTGGATATTTTTGTTCCTGAAAAACCAAATTTACATTAATACTGTAATTTTCCATGGAAAAATATACACATACAGATATTTCACATACAGATACTTCACATACAGATACTTAACTTCCTGAGTGACCAGTCATACATCAAACATGATTTAATGAAAAATTTCTAAAATTTTAGGATGAAATACCATATGTAAATTTATACTTGTACAGGGTAAAGCTACAAAGAACATCTCACAGAACTTATACTTAAATTCTCTAAATTAACCAAAATGATTTATCCTCTAACAACCAATAACTTTCTGAAACTTAAAATAACCACTCAAAAACTGTATTTTCTAATTTATTAACAAAATACAGATAGCCATCTGATTAGCTGATAGCTATCAATATGGACTTCCTATTATATACACCAAAACTGGATTCACTTATCACGGAATTTCTTACAGTACTAAAACTTAAAATATTTGCTTTATAATACAACCATCTATGTATGAGGTCTGATCAAAGTATATGGGAATGTTTAGATTTTTAAAATTTGTTACAGTAAAAGACACAATGCCATTACGGCATTATAAAGATGTGTCTTTTACTATGAATTTTTTTTTTCAAAATCTAAACATTGTATTTTTTTAAATCATGTCTGCTATACAATCCACCCTTCTGAAGCTGTCTAGATGATTAGGAACTGTGGCACTTTCTTTTGCATAAAACCCTTTCCTCTTCACAAAGCCCTGAGGTGAACGGTTGTTAATGAAATAAGACTGGAACCACAATTCTTCTCATTTCTGTATTAAACTGCAGCTGTACTTTTAAAAAAACAATTGTGGCAACTGGAAAAGCTCTTCTGTACAATTTTTCAAAATATTTTCAGCTCAATTTAGTCTAAAGAGCCTAAAATGGCCCTATAAAACAATGTCCTTTTAATATTTGCTAGTGTCGAGATGAGCGCCATTTTCCATCTCTACTACTGTCCCTTCTGTTATCATAATCATGGCTCCAGCCATCATGATTCCTATCTTCATAGTGGAAATCTTCTCTGCTTCCTCTGTAATGATGGTCAGACCCATGATCGGTGTAACGCTGTTCTCGGCTATAATGTCTATCTGCTAGGTAGGGATGAGAATTCTGTCTGATTTTACGCTGTGATGGTGGTGTATTCTGGTGCCACTGGGAGCTTGAAGACTGGTTAAAAGTATGATTATGGGACTGAACTGATGGTGAAAATCCTGATTGATCCACATGTGGAGAACCAAATTTCCCAACATATGACATCTGTCTTAAAACATTGTTCATCTGAAGCAAGAGAAAAAGAAAAAAATGTTAACTGCAAATATTCCTAGATATCAAAGCTAATTATACATTTAGTCACAGCCAAACGGCCTAGATCAGTGGTGGCAAACCTATGGCATGTGTGCCACAACAAGCTGTTTATCACTGAAAGCTCTAAAGGATTTGTCATCATTGGCCTAGATGCATCCTAAGATAAATGTAATTAATATGCAGTCAATCACTGTTCATCTGAATGTAGACTTAAAAGACACTTGCACATAAATATTATCCCTTACCCTGAAGAATACAATTTAAAAGGGAAGCCCATACAAAATAAATACAAACCATTATGTAATGAACATATAAAAAACCAAAAGCTCAGTATCACTAAGAAAAGCTTCATAAAGATATCACATGATCTGCATATCAAAAGAATGGATGAAATATTTTAAGGAAAATATTTAAAAGGGGAGATATGCCAAAGGAAAAAACCTGCTAACAAAAATAAAAGGAAAACACAACGTTGTCAAAGAACAGCAAGTAATTCTGGCTAAGTTATAGCTCTTAGAAGTAACAGTAAAAGCTAAGGCTAGAAATGTGTATTAGAATTAGATGACGTGAACTCCTCATAACTAAGCTAAAAAAGTCTGACATCTCACAAACAAGGGACAGTGTGCAGGGAAAAGACACAAAGTAGGGTTGGTAACATTACTTAGGACAGAAGCATAACTTATCAGGTCAGTGGTTTTCAAATTCTGCCTGTGGATAGGTAGTATTTTACAGACCAGTACAATATAAAACCCTGGGGACCATAAGGCTAGATTGTGATTGGGGCAAAGTAAATTTTAAAAAGGAAGAAATGAATGTAAGAATTATGGAAGATTAAAAAAAAAAGGACATGGTGAATAAGTAGAGAGAAAATTGAAATAATAAAAGATAGCTAAGAGCCAGGTATGGTAATTCTGGCACTCTGGTAGGCTGAGGCAGGAGGGTTTCAAGTTTTGCCCAGTCTGGGCAACTCACCAACACCCTGCCTCAAAACAAAAAAGGGCTGAGGATATAGCTCAGTGCAAAAGTCCTGGGTTCAAGCCCTAGAATCACACATGCACAAAAATAAATAATAAAAACACAGCCAAGATTTTAAGTCTATTCTTGTAATGATGTTACAAAAAATAATCAAAAGGTGAAGGAGCTGGTCTAGAAAATTCAAGTATATTAAAATATTAGAGTTTACGATTAAGAAGACATTCAAGATAGGTAGTAAGAGTTTCAGAAAATGAATCTGCAAGTATTTATTTGTATATACTAATAATGGTTGAAAAGAGAAATATACATGTAAAATGAAGTTTTCTATTTATCTTGTATTCTAAGTATACATGTCAGCCCAGTAAAAAAACAGAGTATTCAATCTATAAAGATCAGTCTAACAAAAATTTTAGAAAATGTTAAATTGTCGGCCATAGTGGCATACACCAGTAACTCCAGCTACTCAGGTGATTGAGGGAGGATTCCAAGTTCAAAGCCAGTCTGGGCAACTTAGGTAGACCCCCATCTCAAAATAAAAGTTTTTAAAAAGGGCAAGGGATATATATCAGTGGTAGAGTGCACCTGGGTTCCATCCCCAGTACCTGCCCCCTCCATGAAAATTAAATTTCCAAGTGAACAAAGGTAATTAAAATCAGTTATCCAACATAACATGAATATTTTAACTAACCATGGTTTCATTTTTAGCATCTCAAGTTGAAAAAACATTAGCCTACCACTGCTTGTCTCTGGTAATTTTCTGGAGAAGAGAATGATCTCTGAATTATCTGTGATGATGGTGTCATGTTATCTCCAGTCCTTTCATATCTGCTAGAAAGAAAACATAATTATTCATTCAACAGGTACCTATTAAAGTCTAATCATGATCAAGACATAGTTTTCAAAGTTGAAAATTAATAAGATAGATAAGGTATCTGCTCTTCTAAAGTAAGAAGAACACAAACAGAAGGATAATTTCATGTGATTATAAGTGATACAATGTAAAATTAAAAGATCCAGGGGAGATGAAAAATAAAGTTCTATTTTAGTTTGGCTGGTTAGGGACAGCTTTTCTAAAAAGGAGATATCTAGAGTAAAAGATGATTAGTAAATTTACCTGGAGACAAAACATTCTCAGCTGAGGGAAGGGCTAGTGCAGAGGTGGGCAAACTATAATGGGCCAAATAGTTTGGTAAAACAGTTTTTATTGGAACATTCCATGCTCTTTTCTCTAGGGCTACCTTAGTGCTATAATGGCAAAGACTATATGACCTCCAAAGTCTAAATTATTAACCATCTGACCCTTTATAGAAAAAATTTGTCAATACCTGAGCTAATGCACAGGCCCAGAATGAGAACTAAAATGGGAAGGATTCCATAGAATAAGTATGAAGGACAAGGGAAACAGAATAAAAAAGGGATAAAATTTAGAGGTTTTTGTTTGAGAAATTTGTTAGACATGTACTAACACATGAAAAAATATAGATTTTGGTCACAAATAACCAATTATCTGTTTTATAGTTTTGATTAAAGATCCAGTAGAGATGAAAAAGTTAGAGGTTCTCTTTTACATTTTTAATTTAGTTTTTGTTAAATTAGGCTATATAACTGTATACTAAGACTTTATTATCTCATCCATTATTCAGTTTATATTATAAGCAATGTAAAACTTTGATTATAACTATGTACTCGTATATTTTTTCCCCAAGAAATTATAAGGGGGGAAAGTACTGCTTCTGTATAATCATTTGCTTATATAATCCCATTATCTCTTCATAGCCATCCAATCATCTCCAGCTCTTGGCACCTCTGTAATCCAAATCACCAACCTTGTTCCAGTAACTTCTTTGCTACACTGCTACCATACCAATACCTTGCTACCAACAGTTTCCTAAATGGTTTATTTTTACTTTTGTCCCTTCTAAACCATTCTTTTGTTGCAACAAAACAACTCTATAAAGTACAAACTTTCTATCATTAACCTACTCAAAACATGTTAATGCCTTTCTACTGTTTTTTAGAACAAAATTCCCCAAATCTTGATTATAGCCTATTCTGAAAGATACTATCCAGTCTCTTTTTTTTTGGTACTGCGTATCGAATTCGGGACCTTGAGCTTGCGAGGCAGGCTGCGGAACCACTGAGCTAAATCCCCGGCCCAGTCTCTATCAAAATCATCTACTGGTCTCTACTTTCATTACAATCTAGCAACACTGGCTTCTTTCAGTTCCTCATTTATCTATATCAACTCCTACTGTTAAAATTTTATCAAAGCACTTTCATCTCATTCACTGCAGAACTAATTTTAATAATTAAACAGAGAATCACAAAATATATACCTAACATATATCTTACAGTCTTAAGGCTACACTTGGCAATATGTCAATACCAAGGCTAGATCACACTGCCTACATTTGAATCCCAGCACACTGAAAAACATTCAACATCAACTGGCCATTAGATAAATTACAAAACTGAGAATCCATCTTACTCCAGAAAGAATGGCTATCATCAAGCAATTAAATAACAAGCACGGGCAAGGCTGGGGGAATGAGGGGTTTCTATTTTGTTAGTGGGAATGTAAACTAGTACAATCACTATGGTGATTCCTCAAGAAACTAAAACTAGAAATTCCATGTGACCCAGCTATTCCTCTTCTTCCCAAAAGACTTAAAGACATATTACAGTGATATATGCATACCTAAGTTTATAACAATGCGACTCATAATAGCTAAATCTTGGAAGCAGCCTATATGTCCATCAACGGACGAAAAGATAAAGAAAATGTGGTACATATACACAATGGAGTACTACTCAGCCATATGTAGGATAAACCAGTCATTTGTAAGAAAATGGATGTACCTTGAGACCATGTTAAGTGAAATAAATCAGACACACAAGCTTAAATATCTCAAGATTTCTTACATGAGAAACTCAAAATATAAATAAAGAGGAAAATAAAAGATAATATAAAACAAGAAGCCAGACTGCCTGCCACTGGGAAGGGGAACTAGAGATGGAAGGAACGTAGAGGGAAAGGAAGTCAAGGGGAAGTAAATAGAATGAGTCATGTCATATACATGTACCAACCTTCTACACTGTATGTAAGCAAATATGTACTAATAAACATTAACAAAAAATATTACCTGCTAGGAGATGTGGAGGTAGGACTTGAATTTCCAACATGATGCTGGGGGTATGATAAACTGACATCCTGTGAGGCATGACTACTTCCTAAAATGAAATGATTTCAAAAATTCAAATAGAAAACCTAATTTTAAAATATGTCTCCACACCCCAAATCACTCCAAAAGGGTAATTACAGTTTAAAAGAAAAAATTTCAAGTTATTATAGTCTTTACAGTTTTAAAAGTATATAGCACCAGATGTGCAAAACAAAGCATTCCAAACAAGGCACTATTTATTGTACAAGTGCAGTCTGGCCATATTCCAATCCTCACACCAAACTGTAAGACAGAATATATGGAAAGTTTCATCCTTACATGACAAAGAATTGAAATTTGTGAAAGTAACTTACAAAACAGCCACAATAAGCACTTTCAGAAAATATGTGCTCCTTTGAGAGCCATGAATCTGAGCCCAAATGCCTCTAATAAAACTTGTATATTCTTTTCAATAAGACAAAATGAAATTTTAAACAGCTTTAAAATTTTAATTTTCAAAATCCCTATGTCAATGTCACATTTCCAGGGATTAAGTCTACTATCTACAAAGACTAAGAAAGTATTTTACCAAGAAAAAATGATTACTTAAAACTGAGTGATAAATTTAAAAACAAAAAACAAAGCAGCAAACAACCCTTCTCCCCCTAACATCATGGAAGAGTTACCTGATCTAAACTGAATTTTGATGGGCCTTCCAAAAAGTTTGATTCCATTAAGTAGATTCATTGCATAAGGAACAGATACTTCATGTTTAAAATTCACAAACGCAAATTGCTTTGGTTTACCATCCTTATCTTTTGGAATTTTCACCTTTATTACTGGCCCAGCCTACAAAAAAGTGTTGAAAATTTAAATGAATCAATTTCAGGGAAATACTCAAATTTTACAAATAAAAGAGAACAAAGTTGAAAAACAGACGTGTAAACAAGAATTTAAAAGAAAATGGCTTTTCATTTTGGTTAGAGTGAAAATCTTAGTTTTGACTGAAAATTAGATTAACTTATTTGGAGAATGGGGCCCATAAGGAACTGAAAACACACTCAATGAATTTACATTTCACACCACAGAAGACGTTTTTAAAAAGTGACCAACATTTACCATTTTCCCACTCGAGGGAAAATGGGAGTATCAAGAGCAGGAAAAAATGATTTCTTCAGACTAAAAATTCCTTTTGTATCGACTAATCATATATAACCAGTTATTGGGGTAACTGCGCTGGAAGCAAATGGATATTTAGAATTTTTCGCACACTTTAATACAGAACACTACTATGCTGCTTTTCTACGGCGTACACACAGATTTTTCAAACATTTTAATAATCCTGCAATTTTATAACTTACGCGCTAACAGGCACAGAAAATGAAATACTATAACGTCGGAGTTCAACTAACCAAAGGCAAATCATCTTAAAAGGAAGATGAGAAAACGAGGAAAACACAAAAGCACTGCTCAACGAAGACCCCCACGGGTATTATTATGTCCCTTAGGACCCCGAATCTGCAGCACGAGAATGGGTGATTGGGATTCCTCCACTATCTTTCGTCACTCTTGGACTGAACCAACTAGGGTTCTTCTAATAAAGCGACACCCAGCGAGCGCCTCGCTTCCTACCTCCCTCGGTGCGCCCTCCATTCCCAGACAGCCCACCTGTGGGGTCCCTGACCGCCGAGCTCCAGCCAGGAAAGCGGGGCTGGCTGCAAGGCCGGCCCTGGACAACCAGGAAAACCAAAGGCCAGGGGGCTGGCCCCAACCACCACTTACCTGGTGGAACAGCTCGAAAAGCAGTTCCTCAGTCACTTTAGTTTCAAGGTTGCCCACAAAAAGAGTTCGGTCCGCTTCCGCAGCCGCCGCCCCCATCTCAACGTCGCCCCCTCCCCGCTCAGGCCGGAAGGGTCGCGGCCGACGCGGCGACTGCGCAAACTCGAAAACCCTTCGTCCTTTCGCTCAGGCGCCCTGACGTAAGCGTCCATCGCGCCAGATCTCAGTCAGAGTGGGCATGCGCGCGTACAGGGCGCCTGCGTACAGGTTTAAGGCGGCTTTTCAGTGCGCCTCGAGTTGTGGCGTCTCTGGGAGTTGATCTATTCTTCAGAGTCGGGCTGGACTGATCTGTGGAGCGGCGAAGTTTTCTTGACCCACGGACGTAACGTAGACACTGCTAGCAGTGTTTGAAGATGGCCCTGAACTATGTGACCATCTCCGCCAGCGATCAAGGGATCAGGGTGACCCACCGCACTAACCACGGCGATCTCGGCCAGTCAGCTTTAGCGTTGGCGATGGTCGCTGGAGACAGCTTCCTCGTTGGCAGGCCTGAGCGGCTTTATCCCGGAACTCGGCCGGCGGTGCGACTGAGCGTTCAGACCGAGGCCCGTCGAATGCCTGGTGGCCAGAATCCGACCCGTCCTATAAGGGGAAGAGAACTAGAGGGTGGGAGACGAATTGGCCCAAGCGGATTCTCACTTTATCTAATCCCTAGAGTCGACTCAGTCTGTTAAGTGTGCTGCAGCAGCATCTGATTGCATTTGGAAGGGTCTCAACTCGAATTTCAGCTTAAAACGAATGCCCCGACCCCCCGACTTAGCTTGTGAACAGGGCTGCTGTAAAGTCACTTGGTGTAACTGTAGTTTTATTTTTAGAACGATATATTTTTACTTTAATATGAAAATATGTATGTAAGCGGTTGTAATACAACCTAACTCAAAGGAAAACTTTACTCTTAATCTCAGTGTATCTAGAGTGATAGCTCAGGGAGGATATAGAAAGGATTTTCTTTTTAGCTGGGCAACAATTCTTTAATTCATCTTTTGTTCACCCCTTTCCCTCTCTAGTGATTCCCTTTCTTAGAAACTTGTAATTAGAGCTTCCTTCCATAGCTGCCTTCCTCTTTACCTCAGACTCTTCCTTGTAACTTGTATTGGTGAAAAAAGACATGCTCCTTTTTATTAAACTGGCTTATTCTTCCATTTTTTCCCCAGCACTTAACATCTTTCATTCCCTCCTTCACATTTTATATCTTAGGGACTACCTACAAACTTCTATCTCGGTCGTTACTTTAAAAACTTAAACCTTAATACTCTTACGTTATTCCTTTGCGAAATGATATTGAAAGAAAGTGAGCTTAAAGTGCCAATTCTTTGTTTAAGCAAGTAGACTAGGTTTTTTCCCAGTAAGCTTCTGTCTGTGTAGACTTCCTTAAAATAACTGCTCAAATAAAATTGCTGTACTTACACAGTATCTAAAAGTTAGAATCACATCTTAAGGAGATAAACTGGAGCACTTATATAATAGAGCCCTAGTGAGAAACTAGGTCATAAGGATGACTGAGAGTAATATTAGCTCCTATTTATTATTGTGCCTAGGAGCTATCATTCATTGTTTGTTGAGATTACTGAGGATTTATTCTGGGCCTACTAACTGTCTATATTAAGCACATGGGATAAAGTAGTGAACAAGATAGATAAGGTCCCTGGTCCTAATTAATGGAGCTCTTTGTATACTACTAAATTCTCATAGAGGTCCATTTTCTTTCTGAGAAACAGTCCAAAAGAGGTGAAGTAAATTTTCCAGGTCAGACAACTAGGAAATAGTAAAGCCTTACAGCCTTTCAACCAAGGTTCCTCATCTGAACCATGCAGCATAAATAATTTGAATTTTTCTGAAGATAATATGTAAGACTATTCCAGATACCTAAAAAATTAGCTCATAATATACAGTGCATGCCTTTGGCTGAGCATTATGAAAACTCATGGTTGAGAAAGTAACACCAATATATGTGTACTATAAATTTTTTTTTTTTCTTTTTGAGATAGAATCTTGGTATGTAGTTTAGGCTGGCCTTGAACTATGTAGCCCAGGCTGGTCAAAACTCATGGCAGTCCTCCTGCTTCAGCCTCCGGAGTGCTGGGATTACAGGGATGTGCCACCACTCCCAGCTGCCGTAAGTTTTGGATTGGGCAAGAGTAATAAAATTAAATCTCAAAGTAGGGAGAACTTTTTTTTTTTTGGTACCGAGGATCAAACTGGGGTCCTTGCGCTTGTGCAGCAGGCAGTGAAACCACTGAGCTAAATCCCCAGCCAATAGGGAGAACTTTCTTAAAAATTTAGAAATGCCTAAGAGTGGAAAATACCCACTCAGGTACTAAATTAGCTGCCAGAAAGTTCAAATATAGGCTAAATTCTGTCAAGGATTTTATCAAAGGAACAATGCGAAACAGAACTACATAGCCAGGTGTGGTGGCGCACACCTGTAATACCTATGACTTCTTACAACCTATATCTTATCCTATGTTGATTGCAAAGTTACAAAGTCCTGCTCTGTGTATCTTCACAATGTATTTCTATTACATTCCTATAATCTCTCTATCACCTGACCTGTATTTACCTGAACATACAGCCTCGTTTTTGATTTGTTTGGTTTTTGGCTTTGCCTCTCTACCTTTTTCCTAAATATAAATTGCCCCCAGAGTAGGATTCACAAGCATATCTCTGACCACATAGCTACTACTGTTTTACAGAGCCTCCACTGCAATACGGTACAAGATAGTCCTTTGAAAAAGAGTAAATTTGACAAGTGATATGTTTTATCACCTTCTAAGGGAGTCATAATGTGTAATAGCATGTTAAAGTTTCTGATAACTTTATTTTAACCAGTGTTCCACAAGTTAATTTATCCGTATCTTTAAAATTTTACACATTACCTTTCTTCATGAAAAGGCCATCTTCTGCAGAAACATAAATGCTGTCTTTTAAGTGAGACCCAGTTTTTCAGACACTAGAAATTGATTTTTGTATAATGTGGCAGATTAAGTTTCCAGAGTGTTGTTAGACACCCATGGTTTGACAGGGTTCAGCTCCATCTTTTCTGCACATGCTACTCATCATTGTCCAAACAGTGAGTGAGAAGGAGCCAAATATGCAGCTGCAGATTCCCTAGGCACTAATGAGGCTGACATTTTTGCTAACAACCCTGTAGAAACATGAGATATACATGTAAGTGCAATTATTTTTCAAGTAGGCTAATGATTTTCTTTTTTTTTTTTTTTTGAAACGTGTGTTTTATTTTCCATCAACCTCGTTTCCATAGGCTAATGATTTTCTTTAAAATTTTTGCTTTAAAAAAGTAATGGTTTGCTTAGCTCCTTATTTCACTAGAATATCTGAAGATAGCTCCACTTTAAAAGGTGCAGTGGTGCCTCAGTAAACATGCTTTTGTTTGCAAACGGTTTGATTCACAAACAGAAGCATTTGGCAAAATTTTGTTTTTGTTTGCAAACTCTGTGTCGAGTGACAAAACTGTGGCCATCTTTTCCAGAATCATAGAACAAACTAAGGTTATGAACCAAGGTACCACTGTAGTTCTAAATCAGAAGAGAAAAATAATTACATTTAGCTTCCCAAAAACCTGAGTCACTGAAGCCGTGTAACTAATAAATTGCACGTTCCATAAACAGACATTTAAGACTTTTCATCATTTGACCAAGTGACATTGTCAGCCTTTTCTCTTGCCCATAATTCCCCCAGATATTTGCTGCTCTCTTCAGCTTCATGCCTAGGTCTACTCTAGTCCTCATAACTAAATAGCTTGTCCTCATTTTTCTGCCAGTCAAACTTACCCATCTAGATCAGTCAAGGCTCTTTACACTGCAAAAAACATGCCCATTTTAAAGCAGATTAAGCCAGAAATTGACGATTAATTCACAGGGTTGGGAAATTGTGGTGACCATTTGATATTTCATCTATCTAGCAACTGTTTATCCTCCATATAATAGCACCTTGGTTTTTCTTTTTCTTGATCCCTCCCCCTTCACTGTGTTCAAGTACTTGAACCTAGCTAGTTTTATGTCTAGCTGCAGGGATAGAAGTATATAATCTATATCTTATTTCCCTCAATATGCTGAAATTTTCTGAGGGCAGACAATATGTCTAAATTATCTTTATTTATACCTATGAAGTGTCCAAAGAATAGATGTTTAATGAATGCTTGTTGAATGAATGAATAAAGTTTACAGAAAGGCTATCTTTCTTTGGAATCAAAATTTTTAAAAATGGAATATTTCAGGAAGGCAAGGGCAGGAATTGTATAGTTTCTAGGGTCTAAAATGATCTACTTGCTTGGACAAAATAATAAAAATAAATTTTGCTTAATAATTTGCTTCAATTTGCAATTAAACTACCTATTAATCCTCACAACCATCCTATGATCAAGGTGGCAAACTTTTTTGGTAAAGATCCAACAAGTTCGTATTTTAGACTTTGTGATTCAAGAGGGAAAATAAGGCCAAATAAGTACTTACGTAACAGGAAAGAAATCAAATTTCTACAGAATTTATTCTGACAAAATTGTAAATATTAAGAACAATTGAATACAATTTTTTGGCAATGTTAAGATGGAATTCTTTGGGAAGATAACATCATTTTACTGAAGTTCAAAGTTGTGTTCCTTATCAAAATCAATAGCAAATGCTCATCTATAATGCTGTATATTAATCAGATTTTACCTATTTCATCTTTGAAAATGTCTTCATTCAGAGAGAGACTACCAAATACTGATATGAATACCTGAGCATATGGTTTTAATTGAGCATTTTCATTGCTTGGAAGGCATGTATATAATTCTATTAAACTCTTCTGTTTACATTTGCCTTCTAGCATGTCATTACATTGCAGATTAATTGCTTCCAAGAGAAGTTTAGGTGTAAGCTCCTCAATTGCATACTTAAATGACTTGAAACATAAAAATTTTCCTTGCACTTATATCCAGATCCAGAAGATGCTTTTAGAACTCTAGTTTGAGCTAGGAAAATATATGTACTGCAGATATGTGAAGGTATGGAGATCTTGCTTCTTGTTTAAATTTTTTGTATGTGTGTGTGCAGTACTGGGGATTGAATTCAGGACCTTGCACTTGCAAGGCAGGTGTGGTGCCACTGAGCTAAATCCTTGGCCCTCTTGCTTTAATTTTTAAAGACAGGAAGTGTGTAAAGCAGCTTGAGGTTTCTTGTGATTCAAATAATTTTAGTTGCTGTTGAAATGGTTTTACCACCATAGAAGTTTGATATGTAAGTGCTGTTTTATCTTTTAGTTTTAGGTTAGAGAAACATCATAAAATCTATAGCAAAAGCTAATTTCCAAAGCCATCCCTAGTTTTGTAACAGTGGTTGAGGACAGTTCTTCTAACCACTTAAGTATGTACAAACTATTCTTAGCTGGAGGATTGTACAAAAAGCTGGCAGAGGGCCATGTTTAGACTTTGGGCCTTAGTTTGTAAAGAATGTTAGTAATTCTCTGCTAAACTACCCAAGTGCACAAAACTATTTATTGGTGGAGCAGAGATTTAAATTTGATCAGGCAGCCTGGCCTCAGAGCTTATTCGCTTGGTGACTATGCAATATTACTTATTGTGCTAGGGTAGCCAGTAGCCAAATCCAGCATGGAGTTTTCTTTTGCCTAACAATTTTTTTCCTTAAAAAGATGCATTACACAATATTTGATACATACAAAACAGTATAAGAAAAGTACAACCAATATCCATGTACTCACCACCCAACTTAAATAAAATACTACCCTACATTTTGAATCCTTTCTGTTGAACTCATCTTGATAACTCTCTCATCTTTCCTGCAACATAATCACTGTCCTAAATATGGTTTTTTCATTTCTATGATTTATTTTTTAAAACAAATTTTATTATGTGTATTCTTATTCTATTTTCTCTTATTCTTATAATATTCAATTGTTTTGTTTCATAAATAGTATATGTATTCTTCTGTGACATGTTCACTTTCTCCTCTCAATTTTGCCAACATATATTTAAAAATTAAATTTGAATGCCTTTTGGTGGGACATATTTTCAGTTATCACTGCCCCACATTGTCTTATACTAATTCATTTCACACATTTTAGTTACCTGCTTGGCCTCTGAAGCCACTTGAGATGCAGCTCCTGATTTAAGATGGCATCCCACATAGCCATTCAAATATTTCTGAAATTTTCCTAATGGAAATTTTATCTGTTATAATGACATAGTATATATAATGAAAAAACTGGGTGCTAAATTTGTGTATATTAATTGGGGAGGAGGGAGTTAAGGGATAAGAAGGTAAAGGGATAGAAAATTATCAAAATATGTTATATAGATGTTCCAATTCCCCAAACATCACTATTGTGTATTGCAAGCTTACACTAATAAACTGTATATATTATATGACATATATATCATATTTATAAAAGCCAATCACTGATTACTTAGGGATGGAGATTCATTAATTGAGAAGGATTTTTCCCCCATATTAGGGATTCAATCCGTAGCCTCACACAGAGGAATTTTTTGAAGGGTGAAATATTTTAATGTGATTATCATTACATGATTATATACAAGTCAAAACTCATCAAATTGTACACTTAAATTGGATGCATTTATTGCACATTATTTCAATAAAATTAGAAGACAAAAAACATTGTATTAACGAGATAATCCCATGGTATTTTTAAAAGTGCTGTCACATAGATAAGAACTTGCCAAGTTTTCTATGGAAGGAAGAATGTATTCTTGGGTGGAAGCAACAATTAATCTCAAGAGATACACATATAGCCAGATAAAAGCAACAAGTGAGACCCATCAGCTTTTCTTGGCCTGGTTCCAGCTGACCAAACAAATATCTGTCTAGCATGTCTTTAGAGAGACCGCACTCATCTCACCTGAGCATTCCAAATCCCATGGTTATGAGCATTCTGCTTTACGTACCAACTTGTGATTTGGTTAGCATGAAACAGGTCCAGAGAATATGGCCATATTTTCAGGCCCTTACAAACAGATCCTTAATGTATGAAGCCCAAGGATCAGTCCCTGGAACACAATCTTCATGACTTGAATTATATCTATTTTAGAAAATATGTTATCCTCCAGTTTAGCATGTCGTAAGTCATACTTCCTTCATACCCTCTGCTCTTCACAGGTACCATGAGAGTACCTCAATCCCATTTCACTTTTCAACTTAATAACAAGACATTAAGGCCAAGGTGAAGACTTGGCAATCATAGGTGCCAATTAAAGTATTTTCCAATAAAATCCTTTCTTTCCTTCTGATAACCGGGTTAATAAACACAATGAGTTTTTTTGTAGGTTATCTGACCTCTCACAATATTTCACATTTAAATAATTATTCATAGCCTACTTCATTTTAGACAAGGCAAAAGATGTTGCCATCCACAGTGAATTTCAAGATTTTTGTAGGGGATTCTGGAAAATTCATCAAATTAGGATATATCAGCAATTTTCAAAATAACCAAATATGTCGGTGTAGAAAAACTATGCATATAAATTCTTTAATTATCTCTCCTTTTGGATTAATTTTAGCCTCATGGTGTGAGAATGAATCTGTACTTGCACTGCTGCCATAATATTTGATGGCAGTTCCACTTGGCTCTTTCCTCAGCCTGAGTTCAGAGCAATATGGCAGTTCTGTGATGTGGACATAGTTTCCATGCTAAAGCCATCCATTTTAATAAAGTAAAGGTCTAGCCCATTGAGCCTAGTTGAATACAGCTGTTGCATTGATCTCTTCTGATGCTACAGCCATTGAGTTCATTTCCTTAATCACATTTTCCATACGGGTAAAAGCATGAAGCTGCTTGATATCTTCCAGAGTGCATGCATTCTAATTTCAGAATTTAATCAAATGGAACTGGCTTCCTGACAGAATAAACAGAGCAAAATACTGTATCCAGACCAGCTGCCAAGCTAGCAGCTTGAATTTATTTTTCCTTGCTTTGCTAAATGTATCTTGAATTTTTGAAAACATAGCCCAGGTTTACGAAATTTAACATTTTTGAATCAAGACCAGTCACCTCTAATATTCCTCTCTAAATACAGCCATTAAATTTCTAAAGTCAGGTAGCTGAGTTAATCCTTTCTCATATCCCTGTAGCCAGAGGAGAAAGCATATTCCTTTTTTTTCCCATTGAACACAGGAATTGTGTACATAAACTCTTGCCATTTGAGTTAATCTAATAGCAGAGAGTGACTGTAAATATCTATATATTTTTTATGATTACTAATTTTGTTTTTCTTATTTTATTTGTAGAATCTAACTCATATCTAAAATCATTTCAGGCATTCTCTCTGCCTCTTTAAAAAATATATTATTCCATATATATATATCTTAGTTTTATTTATAATATATATTCAGTGTAGCCACAAGAATACATACAGAGAAATAAAAGAGTCAGCTGAGTGGAAGCACCCATTTTTCAACCTACCTGGCTCATGAAAGAAGGTTTGAGGTGCTGGGCATGGTGGGGCACGCCTGTAACCCCAGCACTCCAGAGGCTGAAGAAGGAGGATGCTGCAAGTTGGAGGCCAGCATGGTCTACATAATGACTTCAAGGACAGCCTACACAGAAAGACCTTGTCTCAACAAAACAAAGGTTTGAGGAGATACAGAATTTCTGGATCATGGCAAATTCTAATTTTTCTATTTGCAAAATGATCTTTTTGCTGCCTATGTGTCCTTTTAACCACAAATACCTTATTTATGCTTAGGCAGTAATTTCATTTACCCTTTAACTTAATACCAGGGATGGTCTTCAGAGAGTGCATGTATGGGTTGAGATGGACTATCATTCAGCTAGGAGATATTTAGAAATGCACGTAGCCTCAAATCTAATAGACAGCAATTTCCCACAAGTATTTTGTTGTTATTTTGATTTTTTTCTTTGATTTTTAAAGAAAAATTCATGGCAATCCTCCTACCTTAGCCTCCTGAGTGCTGGGATTACAGATGTGTACCACCACGCCTGGCCCACAAGTAGTTTATTAAACTCTTCTCCCTGAAGACCTTTGAATTCTCTTTCTGTTGACATCCCCGGCCCAGTTTCCAGGCTAACTTGTAGTTATATATATTTTATATATATATATATATATATATATATATATAAATAATATATATAATATATATATTTAAATTTAGCTCAGCTATCATTTCTTTTCTCTTCTCTTCAGATTCTTCACATTCCTTCTTGATTTCAAATACCATCCATATGTTAAGGACTCTCATTTAAATCTCTGCTTGCTCTTCTCTGAGATTCAGACATTTATGTACAACTGTTTATTCAAAATCTCCCCTTAGATGGCATCTTAAGTTAACATGCCCAAACACAACTCATCACCCCTCCTTCAAAAAACACAAACCTGGCACTAATAATGATTTATTAATTCAATCTCTACTAAACCTAGTGATTTTTTAAAAACAGTAACCCTACATAGCAGCACAGTTTGTGATAGCTAAAACTTGGAA